CACACACACACACACACACACACACATATCCAGCGGTTTCCATCGACTCACCTTGTTTGACCTCTCCTGCCGATATGATCGATCTCTCTCTCACACACCCACACACACACACACACGCACACGCACACACACACACTTCCCTCTTTATAACTGATTCACTGGAGACGAATGAAGAAATAAAGAGTCTGAAGCCGCGGAGATCATTTGCCTCAGACCATGCTTGCCTAGTTGCCATGGTGACGTTCCTAGACTTGATTTCAAAGTAGGATTTCATGTGAGAAAGGGTTTCAGGGAGGGGGGTGGGGGGTGGGGGGCAGAGAGAGGAAATGATGGAGCTGGAATACAGATGAAAGGAGACAGGACCAAACAGCTGATGTCACCTTCCTTGTTTCTGTGTTGAGAGTGGGATTCGAACGAGTCGATACAGATGATCCAGCTGTTTGTCCGACAGAAGAACATTCGGTCTGTTTACGTCGATGAGCCAACGGTGTCGCTCTGGTGCAGTGAGTTTGCTCTCTCTGTCCTCAGACACCGAGTTTCCATGGAGGCAGCTTCGCCCCTCAGCCTCAAACGAAGATATGAAGAGGTGGACCACGGCTCTCCGTTCTCGACGCCGAAGGACTCTGACGATGACATCTCCAGCAGTGACAGCGCCGACAGCTGCGACAGCCTCAACCCCCCCTCCAGCACCGCATTTACCCGTAAGGAATCACTGAAGACACACATTACAGGCAATATACTCACTCAAGCAGTTCATTAGGCTCAAGTACTCTCAGTTATTACTCATGTGTAACGATACCTCTCCTCCTTCCCCTCCTCCTCCTCCTCCTCCCTCCCCAGCGACCTCCATCCTCAGACAGCACAAGCCGTCACCGGGGGGGAAGCGGGTGCGCTTCGACGTGGTGACGGTTTACTACTTCCCCCGGCGGCAGGGCTTCACCAGCGTGCCCAGCCAGGGGGGCAGCTCCCTGGGCATGGCCCGTCACCACTCCTCCATCAGACACTACACGCTGGGCGAGTTTGCACGTGAACAGGAAACCAGCCACAGGCACACGTTACGCCAGCACCTGCGCCAAGAGAAGCTCAATGCCCGCAAGATGAAGGTAAATCAGCTGCTTGAAGGAACAAGGGTATTATTTCCACAGATTAGTCAGAGAGAGCTTTGATTGAAGGAGTCCTGGTTTTATCTTGGAGAATATTTAATGAACACAGTGTAGATTACTGGTGGAAAGTAAAGCTACGTTTACTCAAGGTGAGCTGCATGAAATATAAAAGGCATCACGACAAATTGTAAAAGCAACTTAAAACAGAACGAGACCGAAGATTTTAGAAAGACGGTATGTATGAAGGATGTAAAAAATGAATAAACAAATTGAAAAAAAGACATAAAAGAGTAAAACAGTCGTAATGATAGAGTTGCAGCGGACCTGCACTTCTCTGGAAGCTTGTTCCAAATACGTGGAGCATAAACACTGAATACTAGAAGCGCTGTACTAGAATTTAAGTATTTCTATTTGATGCTTTTACTTTACCACTCTTACTTTTTACTCTTTATCTATTTATCTACTCATAAATTTAAGATTTTTACATAATCCTAAGTGTTTTGTCTTGTGACTCACAGGAGCTGGTTTTCTACAGACTGAATATTTTTAATAACGTTTCATTGACTCAAATAGGATTATGAATTTACTTTGACTGGAGTATTTTTACATTTTGGTACGATTGCTTTTACCTAAAACAACATGTCTCCCACCATAGATAAAACATCAGTCATTAATAATCTATAACAATCAATTAGAAACCTCTATAACTTGAAAAAGAGAATCCCTCCACATGATGTCGACAGCTCACAGTTCCACACTAACTGTTGCCCACAGCTGACGAGGAACGGCACAGTGGAGTGTGCTCAGGCCGACCTGCTGACCCTGGAGGACGTCTCAGACGAGGACCTGGATGTGGACGGGGTGGAGGTGGACGACTGTTTCTTCCTTCAGCCGCTGCCCACAAAGCGCCGCCGGGCCCTGCTGCGAGCGTCTGGCATCGCCCGCATAGATGCGCGGGAGAAAGCAGAGCTCAGAGCCATCCGCCTCTCGCGGGAAGAATGTGGCTGCGACTGCCGTCTGTACTGCGACCCTCGACACTGCGGCTGCAGCCAGGCCGGAATCAAGTGCCAGGTAATGACGGCTCGTGTGTTTGTGGATGTGCAGAAAGAAGAGAAGCAAATATCTAAGATATTATAATTCAACTATAAACAACAACTTGATTCAGAGACGAGTTGTGAATCTATGAAGTCAATATTCAGACTTGTATTAATTGTTTTAATGAAGATTAATGCTGCTGTAGAACTTCAGTGGAGTTTCTGTTGAAGTTTGACTCATATAACACTAATGGGTCAGTTGATTCCAAGTATTTGATTCACTTGTAATTGTTCAAATAAAATAAGTGTGAAGGTGAAATCGTTCCCTCTGCTTCCTTCCTCAGGTGGATCGGATGTCTTTCCCGTGCGGCTGCTCTCGGGATGGCTGTGGAAACGTAGCAGGTCGCATCGAGTTCAACCCGCTGCGTGTGAGAACTCACTACCTGCACACCATCATGAAGCTGGACCTGGAGCAGAGGAGGATGCTCATCCAGGGGGCCGGGGACCAATACGCTGAATCTGACCCAATATCCTCCCCCACGTCCACCTGCCCTACTTCCCCCGACCTGTCCTCTGAGCTGGAGGAGAGCGAGATGCAGACTGTCGTACAGGTTCAGGATCTCCTGGCAGAGGAGGACATACTGGAGCGAGAGAACGAGACGGCTGTGCTGCACCTGCAGAGCGCGGAGGAGCAGGAGAGGAGGGAGCGGGAGGAGGCCGAAGGGGAGGCAGTGCAGCAGGAGCTGGGTACTGGAGGTCTCACAGAGCAGCCTCTCTGCCTTCTGCCTGGGGCTTTAGGAGGGGATCTGCCCGAGCAGGCGGAGGTGCCGGGTGTGGAGCAGGTCCTCCTGCAGGGGCCGTTCCCCACCGGGGCCACAGTGCTGTGCATCTCTGACAACCAGGAGGAGAACCCCTCTGACCTCCTCAGAGACTCCACCTCTCTGCTCTACTATCAACTCAGTCCCATAGAACCTGGAGCCTTTGAGACGCTGCCCAGAGCGGAGGAGGCTGAACAGGAGGAGCGCTCGATGAAAGAACCACATGTGGGAGGAGGCGAGAGTGTGAAGGGGAAACAAGGAGGTGGAGAGGAGTCAAAAGATGATTCGCCTGAAAAAATCACCCGCAGGCAGAAGTGTTTGAGCGACGTGATTCTTTGCTCAGAGGAGCGCGTGGCAGTCGAGGAGGAGAAGCCGTCGAGTCGTCAGCGCAGCCGCCCTGAAGATCAGAGCCGAGGGGCGTCCTGCTCGGAGGGAGAGCTGGATCCACTGCCTCCTGAAGTTTAATTCTAGCTTCTCTGCAGATATTTGCACAATAGCTTCATCAAAGATGAATAAATAACATATTTACACATTTATTACAGCTATCATCGTGAACGATCACAGGTTTCAATCTCTTGTATTGACCGTCACTAAAATATGTGGAGGATGAGCTTGAGTATAACGATACACGAGGGTGGGGAGATGCTGAAAGCACATACACATCACTCCTCAGAAGTAATATGGATGCAGTTACAAGGCAACGTTGTACGTAATTCAGTCGGGGGTGATGGGTGCGGCCTTAATGGAAAAACATTAAAAAAAAACACTTGTGCGTAGGAGTCATTCGTCGATGAAAAGTCCATCGAGTAGTGTTTTGATAATTTCCTACACAGCAAACAGAACAGTGTGTGAATGCTAACATAAGCCTTTTCTTTGGTGGTATTTAAAGCTGTCATCACAAATTGTTTTGTCTCGCGCAAGAAGCTGGTGTGGTCAGAAACTCACCGGCTTAGTTTCCATTACAGTCGTCGTGCTGTAGTCAAGCCAAACGAAGGCCTCTGATAGTATCCTCCGCTGAAAATAGACCTAATAATCCTGGAAATACTTGTTTTTTTGTGTACTGTATATGCATTTGCAAAAGTGCAAGAGCGAGCCGAGGTTGCTGCTTTTTTAAAAAATATGTCTGCACGTTGTGAGCTGAGGGCAGTGAGCGTTAGTGGCTCTGCTGCATCGAGACATGAAGGTGAAGCGTCACGGAGCAGCAGACCAACACTGGCCTCAGTCGCTGCTCGTGCTCACCTCGGGCTGCGACTGTGGATTCGTCGAAAGTAAAAGAAAAAGAAAAAAAACCCTAAAAACCTAGTTTACCTGTAGTTGCAATGCCTATGATATTATTTCCGTTGGTAATGTGTATTTCGTGAATTAGATGATGTTGGTCTTTGTTTTTTGTTTTTTTGAGTGAAAGGAAATGTTTCTTTCATGATGCTAACACTAAGTAACACCATGTAGTCGTGTCGTGTCATGACGAAATGCCAGAGTAGATTTTCCCTCGCCCTCTTTTTTTTTTTTTTAATCTCTCCACGAGTTGAAGATTTGATTCTGAATCAAGTAAAATATCATATGAAGAAATCAGAATTTAGAGAGACAAAGAAAACGACAGCCTGTGCTCGTGAAAGAAGTTATGAAATGACGAGAGTTTACTAATTTATGGAACACTGACCACAACCTGAATTAGTATTTTTTTTATTTTCACTCTTAAGGTGTGTTTGTGTGCGTGCGTGCCTAGGTCACATGTGTACGCCCAGAGGTGTGTTTGCGTCTGAGTGGTCTCAGAGATGTGTGTGTGTGTGTGTGTGAGTGTGAGGGGGTGGGGGGGTATAATAGTGAGGATATGTACTTTATTTCTGAAAGGTGCTGACGTTACAAATCCACAATTCTCTACTTTCCTCCCGACCATCACGAGAAACTAGATTCCATGGAGCTGTTTCTCAATGACTTGACGGTAACGTGTGGGAGAGCCCCCTGTAGGAACGCAATAGCTACTGCACTGAAAAAAAAATCATTACCGGGGCCATTATGGAATGAGGTTGTTTCAGTCATCCAGTATGTAAATGCAATCGTGTAACTATTTCAGTCTTTAAATGTCTTTTTTGTCTGATTGATGCCGATCTGTATAAGTGTGCCGACTCTTCTTACACAAAACCGATCCTTTGTTTCGTTGCTTGAAATTACAGCTGTCGGTAAAAGCTGACGCCAAACACAGGATGTGCTGCCGTGTAGGAGACGTCTGATGTTTTACTTTTTTTGCCTTTTCATTTTTAAACTGTCTTAATATAAATCTACTTAAAGGTTGCACCAAAGCAGTGGTTTCAGGCCTGATGAACAGATGCTTACATCCATCAGACTCTAACGAAGCAGCCTCTGCCAGGCTTTAGAATTACTGTTGTGTTCTCATGTATTCTCGGCCGTGCAACAGCACCATCTTTGAGGTGACGATGATTACAAGCTGCCTGTTGTTGAGCTTTTGTCCTCGGCTTTCCACTAATAGACTTAGGTTTGAAACCACCGCATCAAATGAACTCCAGTGCACCACGTGATTGTGTGTTTGTCGATGTGAATGAGGAGTGTGACTGTCGGAGAGACTGATATGATTTGACTTCATCCAAGGAGCCGTGGGAACGACTCTCATGCTAACTGTTGCCTAAAGTGGACAAAAAAGTTTTTTATACAAAAGTAAAAACAATAAAATACTAATTTCAAAAAGGAAAAAGTTTCGTGTGTTGATTTTTTTCAGAATAACATTGATACATTGATTTGTACTGAACCTTTCATCATGAAAAGTTGAGCAACAGAAACAATAGCCTCTTCTCAGCAGTTGTTGAATCTTTATTTAATGAACATATGAATTAAAGTTTACAGTTTATGCTGCTGTCGTCACCTTTGTCCTTTATTTGGTCTGATATAAAAAAAATGTTTGGGTTATGATATCAAACTCATTCACAAAAAACTTGAATACATATAATACAAATATATATAAAAAGCAAGACACCAATAATACTTGACTAAAATATAAGTGGAAGCTTTGAATCGTATTAATTGTTTCTAATAATTTGAAGAGACATGAATTCTAGTGCAATTTTGCATTTTGTTCCGATATCTCCTTGAAAATAGACAAAAGAAATCACACAATTCTTTATATAACGATCACAATCACGCACACCTCAAACTGATGTGGCCTCGGACTGACGTTGAAATCTCTGGATTGTGTGTTTGTGTTATAGAAAAGCAGAAGATAAGAAGCTATTGTCCTCCCTCACACTCGGGAGGTCCTGACTGTGACTGGCTGCTTGTTGCAGTTTAGATAAAGACCACTGGGCTGCAGCATAAACTCAGTTCACTCCTGCCGAACACGTCCTGATCATTACATGAAGCATCTGTGTCACACGGAGTTCAGTCCCTGCAGGAGTTTCTCTGCATGTTGCTCCTGCTCCTCTGCTGTTTGTCTTTTCTGTCGCTCACAGACGTTCATTCCTCAGATCGCTCGGCAGCAGAAAGAAAACAGATCTTTTATCTCTCAGCTCACACTGAAGCATCTTGTGTTTCACTGGAAACAACAACTGATTAGGAGCCAAAATATTTGCTCTTTTCTCCTTTCAGTGGCAGGAAGTAGTGAGCTGGATGAAGTGACACATTGCCCCCCCTCCCCTCTGGACTCTTTCAGAAGTGGCGTCTTGTGAACGGCCTTTCGTAAGTTTGACCCACACGGGCCTGAGATCTGTGCTCTGGGCAGCAGGATGCTGTGACCCGCTGCTGTGACACCAACTTCCTTTCAACTGTCTCAGCAACAAAAATACAGAAAACAAATAACAGTCACATCAGCGTTTGTGATGTAAAAGGCTGATTCTAGTAGAATCTGCATCTGTAACATAATCTTGAGGCGTTTTCAGTCATGATAATTGGATCCGGACATTATTCAGAGTTTGTCTTTCATCCATGAACAGCGCAGCAGGAGATTGTCAGAATCAGATGTGTTCACAACAGCAGGAAAATATCCAGAACATTCAGGCGAACGGTGACGCGGCACAACGCGGACATTTGAGTTCTCACGTACAGCTTCTCCAGATAATTTCAGGAGAATATCCGGAGTTCAGAGCGAGACTGAGAGCAGCATCGTTTACCGGCATCCGTTCAGTATTTTATTTGGTGGTTCACTTGATTCAGACAATGAAACTGCAAAGGCCTGACAAGAAAGTGATGGAAACAAAGAAAATATCTTTACTGCTTCAGTTTCACCCGGTTTGTTTGTAAGTTCCCCAATATTGTGGGAGGCAGATCACCGTGTGTGTGTGTGTGTGTTTCATGGCTGAGAAAACACAAACAAACACCACACACACACAGAAACAAATCACCTCTGGAACCTGTGAAACAATTGTGGCAGAGACACATGACTCAGAAAACTCTGCACCGATTGTTAAACCTTTCCGGCCTCCGCTTTTCTATTGTCTCACATCTCCAATGGCCGGAAGAATTCATCAGCTTTCAGCTTTCGGAGCCGATGATGGAGCGCATCAGGAGCCTGTGGAAAGACTTTTAAAACCCCATCAAAGTCAGGGGACAGAGCGGCTCCCACAGTCTCCTCAGAGCACGATGACAGATGTGCAAAATCACCAGCGTTACCAGAGTCTGACTGTTGTGACTGGACAGGAGAGCGACTGGGCATTAGGAGGGTTAGGGTTGGGAGTGACGTACGTGAACTGGAGAGCAGCCACACCACCTCGCTCCAGTCTACTCGTCTGAAAGTGCTGCTCCAGCGCCTGGAAAGAATGCTCGCTCTTTTCCCTCTCTCTCTCTGTGACGCCAGCGCTGTGGCATCATTAAGGCCCTCACCGAAACCAATCCCTTTTAAATGGGACTATTCATAAAACTGGCTCACGGTGCTTTCACTCGTCAGCCCTGCAGTTCACGTGCCGGCTGAGGTCGAGGTGGGAAATCCAGACCTCCAGCAGGAAGTTAATTCTGTGTGCTCAGGAGAGAGGATCCTGATATTCTGCTGACGGGAGGAAACAATAAAGATTAATGTGAACAATGCAGCAGCTCAAACCTTCTCTCTGGAAGTGAAATGATAAAACATCTCTCTGAGCTCATATCAGAAGTGTCTCTCTGTGTGTCCCTCTCTGTGTCTCTCTGTGTCTCTCTCTGTGGATGGTGAAAGCCTGGCAGATGCTCCTCCTCCTTCCTGGTTGGTGCTGAGGACACAGGATCCTGATTGGAGCGGCATGAACCCCCAGACCTCCAATCACCAGGGAGCAATTAGGTGAGCGGCAGTATAAAGTCTGTCCAGCTGTGTCAGTCCAGCAGCTGTGTGAGTGAGCAGCTCGCCCACCTCGTTCCAGTGACGTCACGTTTGACATTCAGAGATTCTGACTGATGTTGTCTGAGAGTTAAGTGTTATCACAGAGTCTCTTGTTTTCAGCTGTTTTGTTCGGTGAGCGAGGAGGTGGCTGGAGGAGCACGTTCACCTGGACCAGAGGATCAGTCAGCGCGGGGGGGGG